GGCCACGGGGAGCCGTGGCTGGAGAACAGCATCTAGGCCACGGCACCCTTGCCCAGAAGGCCTAGCCGTCGGAATGAGCAGAGCCCATACTGGGGCGTGGGCGTGGGTGCCAGCCCAGCGCTCCCTGCATGGTCTGAGAACATGAGGGGCAAGAGTCTCCAGTGAGGAGCATGCCCTCTGTTTTTGGGAGGCCACGTGGCCCTTGGAGACACCCCAAAGGGCTCCTCCCAGGACTCTGCCCCACAGAGGTGCCAGTCCGCAGCTCTGTGATGTGAGCATCTGGCCTATGAAAACACTGGCATCCTCCTTCCTCCCCCACGTGGGCCTGCCCTGAGGGCAGTCGCCTTTGCCCCTGAGAAGTCACTGGAGGCCGGGCTGGAGGTCGGGCTGGCTGGCCGGAAAGGGCCAAACTCAGCCTGCGCTCCCCACGCCGGCAAGTGGCTGTGACCAGAACGCGCGACCCCGCCAAACTCAAGTGGGGCTTGACTGCCATCGTGATGGGATCAGGAGGTGAGGCCCAAGGAGGTGGCTGGCCTCAGGGGTGGGTGGGTTCCTCACAAAGGGCAGGTGGAGAGCTGCCCCTGCTCCCTCCCTCGGCCCTTCAGCCACAGCAGGATGGAGAAGAGGCCCTCGCCAGACGCTGCTGCCCCGAGCAGGATGGGACACCCGCCTCCAGAACTGTGAGCTCAGACCCCCAGGCAAGGGCCTCTGTCAAGGCAGCACGGCGTGGACCTGGGGTCACATCAAAGATCCGGGACACAGCCAGCACTGCTCCCGCTGCAGAGAGCGGCGGTCCACAGAGCTATGCCCTCTGGAGCCTGGAGCACCCCGAGTACACGTAACCAGAGCTCACGAGGAGGCTGAAAGGCAATTCGCTGGCCCAAACTGCGGGTGATGCCAGCCAGCCAACGCACTGTTTTAAGACCCAGCCAACAGGGACAAGCATCCAGCCTTCAGCCCGCCTTCCTCATGCCCCTGCTCTGCACCCCAGCCTCTTCTGCAGCAGAAGAGCAGGTGTGCTTGTCAGGGCCACCCCGAGAACCAGTGAGGGCACCTGTGAGCACAGCCACAGCAGAGGGGTGTGCTGACGCGGGGTTGCCCATCACCGGTCAGGCCAGGGACGGGCCGCACTGCCACCATGACTCCGTCTTGTCGGGAAGGGCAAAGCCAAAAGTCACCTAGCCCCAGTCCCCCTGCCAGCTGAGGACTCCCAGGGACACTGTGAGCAGTGCCCGACTGGTGGCCTCCCAGATCAGACACAGCCCGCGGGGAAGAGCAGCGGGTGGGCGAAGGCTGAGGCGTGCTCTCCAAGTGGCGGGTCCAGCAATGTGTGGGGCGG